ACATCCTTCCCGCTTTTCTATATTTGAGTCCGGTAGCATCTTAAGGGACGAGCGATGCTCTGCTTTGACTTTCGAAAAATTAGACCCCGAAAATCTTGTTGGTTTCTAAGGTGCTGCCGGACTCGAACCTAACTGCTGTGAGAAAGACACTTCCCTGCCGATTGCAAATAAAATGGCGTGACCGCAGCAGCCAAAGATCTTGCGGCTTCTGCTTCCAGGCATAAAAAGCCGAACTGACTACTGAAAGCAAAAGAAAAACAGAAAAGCGGGAAGGATGTGGCTTTGGGTTTCCACGGCACAGTTTCCACACTGGTGGGAATCCAGTGACCCTCTGTGCGGGAATGAGCCAGGAGGGGGGGCTCGTGTTTAGCACCGGAGCTACCGACGGCCGGGTTTGAAAAGGTCACTTCCTGCACATAGATTACTGCTTTTCGCTGGCAGTCGCGCATGGAAACTAGTCATGCGCCACAGGGAATGGCTCCTCTTTGCTATGCCTTACCAAGCACCTGTTGTAGGGCAATGCCATGTGCAAAATGGAGAGGAGTTGGATTTTGGGGACCTCTACGAGCATCCGGCATGCCCCACGCCCCCACACTTTGATCAAGGCTTCAAGGGTGGGAAAGGAAAGCAGGCTGAGCAGAGGGGCTGCCACACGGCTATATTCTTCTGCCTCCTTCCCCCTCAAAGGGGCAATTCAAGCTGGACACGGTGCCCTCGAGACTGCACTTACAAGGTATGGAAAGCTGGACACCTGGCTTCGGAGGCGGCCAACTCTAAAGAACATCTACGAGAGCCCAAGCAAAAGGGGTGTTCTAAAGCTGCCAAATCGCTTGTCAAAGCCGGTGAGGTTGGAAAGGATGCCAGGCGGCACTGAGAAGTTCTACTTTGAAGAAGAGGAAGAGGAGGAGATTGGATTTATACCCCGCCCTTCACTACCCAAGGGAGTCTCAGAGCGGCTTACAAACTCCTTTCCTTTCCCTTCCCCTCCCCACAACAGACACCCTGTGAGGGAGGTGGGGCTGAGGGAGCTCTGACAGAAACTGCTCTCTTTCAAGGACAGCTCTGACAAAACTACGGCTTGCTCAAGGTCATCCAGCAGCTGCAAGTGGAGGAGTGGGGAATCAAACCCGGTTCTCCCAGGTTAGAGTCCGCGCACTTAACCACTACACCAAACTGGCTCTCAAAGGGGCTCTCGAAGGGAGCACTTCCTGTATCAAGATGGTGGCATTCAACGACTCCCTTCCACTAAGCTGGGTCTACGGATCCACCAAGTCTTCATCTTGCAGACAAGCGCCACGTCTGTCAGGGGACATCTTTGTAGGCCAAATGAGGACTTGATGGAAGGCAGACACTGGAGCCAACGTGAAGCATTTCCCCCCAGGAACCACCCCACTTGAGTTAAAGGATGCCATCTGACTCCAAACAGATATCAAGAGGGATGCGTTAAACAGAAGGCTGGCCTCAAAGACGGCCCGAGAACAATCCTCTCTAGTGAACGGCACTTGGGAGAACACCACCAAGCCCTGGCCAAGGAGGGAATGCGGACACAGGATGCTTTCGCTGGTGAGCGAACGGGCTCAGCAACGGCGTCAGCAAAACTGCCTGCCTGGTTAAGCGCCTGAGAGCACCCACGTGATTTTGCTTCATAAGGAGGGGGGAAATGCGTCGTGTCTTGCAATGTTTAATTGAAAAAGTTAAGCAGCCATGAACGAGGTGGAGCTGAAGAGCTCAAGGGAAGAGGAAAGCGCGGCGTGTCAGAAGCTTTAAGAGTCTTTGGGTCCCTCCTCACAACCTACGAAGAACGAGAAGAGATTCATTCGCCTACTTGCCTCAAAAAACTAGTGGCAGTGCAGGGCTTGTGGTAGGCCTCCCAAAACGGAGGTTGGGGGGGGGGATGATGCTACAGGCAAATTCATTCCTCATCCCGGGGATCCCCCAACCTTTTCTGAGCCTGCAGGCACCTTTGGAATTCTGAGCCAGCATGGGGGGCACAGCCACAAAATGGCCGCCACAGGAAGTGGAGCCAGCCACAAAATGGCCGCCACAGGAAGTGGAGCCAGCCACAAAATGGCTGCCTGAGCTTACTTCAGTTATACAGTGAAGGCCCTTGAGTTGCGGTGGCAGCTGCTGCCAAAGGGACAATTAGAAGTCTTGCCAGGCAAAAGTCCAATTGGCCCCGCTCACTTTCTAAAAACACCTGGTGGGTGCCAGGACAGGTGTTGGTGGGAACCACAGCGCCCCCCGACACCACGTCAGGGACCCCTGCCTTATCCTCTCCTCGCTTCCTGAACTCTCCAACTTGTTGAAATGGCTCCACATCTTCCCATGCACAAACGGCCCCTTTTCCGTCAGCACTAGGAGGACTTTTCTTACGACGCGCGGCCCGACCACCGTCCCCCAAAGGGCAAAAGGTTGCCGTTGCCGCAGATCACTTAAAAATCCTTGGCTCCAGCCAGTGGACATTTAAAGTCTCTTCCTTAGCATGTTACTCCCTCTACCTTTCTCCAGCTGAGTTCTCCCTGCGCCTGGATGTCACTACTACCAGTGGGGTGCTCCCCTCCCTATCCACCCCCCCAATCCTTGCACACAGAAAATTTGCGTGTCAGAAAGCATACTTCTCCCCAACGTGGCATTTTGTTGCGTGCAGGGATGGGGGAGGGAGGGAAGGAGGAGCACCCTACTCGTAGCAATTAGTATGGAGGAGCATTCAGTCATGGGATCTCCCGCCCCGGGGTGGTTCTGAGGAGGTAACGCCCAGGATCAGACTTACCACTAGGGATGTGCATTCGGTTCGTCCGGGCAATTAGTATGGAGGAGCATTCAGTCGTAGGATCTCCCGCCCCGGGGTGGGTCTGAGGAGGTACCGCCCAGGTGCAGACTTACCACTAGGGATGTGCATTTGGTTCGTCCGAACCGAATGCACCCCCGAAAATGGCCCATTTGGATCCCTTTCGGGTTGCTGCAGGCCAATTCGGATTCTCTGATCGGAATTGGCTTGCCCCCGAAAAAAAGAACTTTTATTCCCACCACAGAGAACAATGGAGGGGATAGGGGCAACCTGTTTGAGGGCCCGTAGAATTGGACTCCCCTGGTCCAATGTTCTTGAAACTTGGTTGGTATCTTGGGGAGAGGCTCCAGCAGCTAACCTGCGAGTTTGGAGCCTCTCCCTCAAACCCCCTCCCCTCCAGCCCCCAGAATATACCCTATGTTTTCGCCACTGACTTCAATGGCCCATAGGATATAATGGGGCTGAAACTGACATTCGGCTGGCCCAAAAGACTCCTGAATCGGCTGGTAATGCCGAAATTGACATGCAGGAGGCTTTATGCCGGTCAAAATTGATTCTGCCCGATTCGGCCGAATCCTCTTCGGGCCGAATTTTTTTTTTGCTGCACACCCCTACTTACCACCCTGACGAGAACCGGCTAGCGAGCATTCCCACGTGTGCCTCTGTGCAGAAAGGAATTGGCCACCATGGGGGTGCCCCTTGAGGTGCCACAATGGGACCAAAGGATTGTGGGATGGAGCTGTCTCACAAGCAAGCTGTGGTTTGAGAGGGCAGCCCCAAAGCGCGAGGGGCTTAGAGTAAGGATGCAAAAGGAGCAGTATGGCTGCTGCGCGAAGGTAAGGCCACAACCCAACGAGGGTAACACGGGCAGGCAAAGTGGCTTTCTCGGTGGCCTACGCAGCATGTAACGCAAGCCAGCTAGGGCCGGGCCCCACCAGGAGATGAGACACCTCTTGGTTGAAAGCATTCAGTGAATGCCCCCTCTGCCCGCCCGCGTCTCCCCACTTTAAAGCTATCACTTTAGGACAGCGCTCGTAATAATACGTTTAAGTTATGGGTGGGGAGATATCGGCGGGATATTAGGAAAAACTTAACAGTAATGGCAGTACAACGATGGATGTGGTCGGTCAGGGATGCTGTGGGTTCCCCCCTCCTTGGAGGCGTTTATGTGGCACAACCCCATCACAGCATGGGCTTAGGTGCTGCAGATGTCAATGGGGGGGGATCAGATGGTCCACCCCCCTCCACCACCCCCGTTTCCACTCTTATCTCGTCTACGACCAAAGACGTTCCTCTGCCCCCAGTTAGCCGTAAAAAAGAGCAAGAGTCCAATAGCACCTTAAAGACTAACCAAATTTGTGGCGGGGAGGGGCTTTCGCGAGGCACCGCTCAATTCTTCAGATACAGAAAAAGAAGTAAGCAGCGTCTTACGAACCCCCCCCCCCTGCCACAAATCTGGTTCGTCTTTAAGGTGCTCCTGGACTCTTGCCCTTTTCTACTGCTACAGACAGACTAACGTGGCTATCCATCTTGACCTATCCCCAGGTGGCTGGTTCCAAGTCTTATGCTACTGATTCCAGAACCCTCCTATTATTTGTTCGCAAACCTTTTCATTATCACTCCCCCCCCCCCCCCCGGCACTCGGGTGTCTATTCGAGCTAGGGGCGGAAATTTCGTTAGCTCGAATGAGGTCGTATATGAAATTTTGTTAGCTCAAGTAAGGTTAGATATGAAATGCACACCCAGCCCGTACAGCTAGGGAGACAAAAACGCCACACATCAGAAGCACATCAGCTTCTACGAACCATGTGCTTCTGTTTTCTGAGGTCCCATAGGAGCCACCAACATCACTGCAACTTGGGGTGGAGTGGGGGGGGGCGGAGAACTCTCCCTCCCCTGAATATGGGCTAAGTTCAACGGTCATAACAGGGGCCCTCGGCTACACTGAACAGGTACACTCACGAGTGCTCCCCACCCCTTAAGCTACCCAAACACCATTCCCCATGCCAGGCAGTCAAACTACTCCCTGCAGTTTTCTACCCTTTAGAACAGCTGGTATCCAGGTGGGAGTGGGGAAGAAAAAGGGTGGGGTGGGGCACATTCTGTTCTTCTCAAAGCACAGCTGGGCAGTGCAAAGCCAGCGCCATACTTGGCCCACAAAAGACTCTGTTCTGGCCCAAGAACACCCATTAAATCAGCCACAAAAAAACACCCCCGGGGGGGGGGGGGGGGGATGCACAGGCAGACCAGACAGATCCCTCCCAGCTTGATAATGCACCTGCTCGGGCCTTAGGAAAGCAACAGAAAAGAGGAGTTATTGCACTGGGGGGGAAAGGGGGGGGGTTACCCTGTCATTGCCGAGAAATCAGCTTATAGGCAGCATCTGGGGAAGAAAGAAAGAGGAGCCCTCGCCTCCGAGCGCCAAGGGCCAGGGGGCTTCTGCTGTCTTTCTTCCCAGGCTTCAAAAAGAGTCATGGATACAGCAATAACTTTTTGAGAGATTCCCCAAGGGCAAGGTCGATACCGAACCCTCCCTGTACGTGTGTCTGGTGTGCATCGTGTGTGTTCTTTGTTTTGGCAAGAGGCAGGGTTTTTTTTTACTGAGGTTACATGACGCAGCACTTGTTCTTGTGATTCTGATGGTCCTTGAAACGGAGCCGCTGCTTTGGCCGGTACTTCTCCAGGTACGTCAGCTGCTTGCTGTTGATCGCCCCTCGGCGCTTCCTGAGGAGGGGAAAAACAACGGAGGACTAGTTATTTATTTACTTTGTTTATAAGCTGCCATCTCCCCAATGGGGACCTTTCATGACCCCCTGTGGGTCGCCACATTCAGCTGCCACCACTCTGGACTTAGGGTCCCTTGGGAAGGCCCAGAGTACCCTCCCAAGCCCAACTAAAACGCTCCTTTTAAGCCGAGAAACATAGGTGTGATGAACAGACAGAGAACATTAAACAAATGGTTTATTAATACAGTACTGGGGCAAGGAAAACAAGACAAGGTGCTTTATAATATATAACAGTGTCTAAAGGTAAAATAAAACAACACGACTACCTATTTCTCTTAACTGGTTACTATTCAAGGCCCACTGCCCTTTTATACCAGGCCTGTGCCTGTACTCACTCTGTCCCAAGTGAGGGATCTTTCTCTCAGACCAGACTGTCCCCTCAGTTTTAACTCTGTGAGAGGGAAGACCGCAGAAGAGCAAAGAACACAGTTCCACAGCCCACAAAGCTTAAGTCCCAATCTCCTCACACAATCCCTGGACACCGATTGGTTACAACCGTCGCTAAGCATTGTGGGGATTGTAGGCTGTCTGCTTTCCACTCCCACACAGGTCTCCTTGGACCTAGGCCTCTAGGCCTTGTCTCCCAGTCCTATACAGATCGTGACAGGACCCAAAGCGGCTTATGTCATTCTCCTCTCTTCCATTTTATCCCCACAACAACCCTGTGACGGAAGTTAGGCAAAGAGTGTGCAACTGGCCAAAGGTCACCCAGAGAGCTTCCATGACATGCTGGGGATCTAAACTTGGATTTCCCAGGTCTTTCACATCACCTGCCATCTGATCCTTTCAACTGGAGGTGCTGGGGACTGAACCTGGAACCTTCTGCAGGCACAGCAGAGGTTCTTCCCAAGAGCACCGCCACAGCCCCTCTCTCAAATGGGGGTCTCTTATTTATTTAGTTAAACTTATGAATCGCCCACCCTGCAGGGCAGGCTCTGGGCGATTTACAACACTAAAAATAGTGAAAAAACACAGTTGATCTATAATTTAAATCACAAATAATAAACATGACACTGGAACCAATCAGGATGGCGATAAATAGTCCTCCATCGCCGGCCACACACCGCTACACCGCACGGCAGGGCATGTGGGACCCATAGAGGAAAAAAGAGAAAAAGGGGGCCAGTCTCCCTCCCATTGTTGCCCTAGACTAAAAGCCTGGCGGAACATCTCTGCCTGATACTGAAGGTTTCCTGAGCCAGATACCAGCTCTTCCTGCATCCAGTGCCGGAAGAGCCATCAGAGACGCAAATATGGTCCTCAGGCAGTGTTCCCTCTAAGCTGAGTCAGTGTGAGCTAGCTCACAGTTTTTCAGCCTCTGGCTCACACATTTTCATCTTAGCTCAGGAAGGGATGGCTCCAGAGCAGACTAATTTATGCAGTAGCCAAATCGCTCGCTCACAACTTTAATGCCAGCAGCTCACAAAGTAGAATTTTTGCTCACAGGGCTCTACGGCTTAGAGGGAACATTGTCCTCGGGTGGAAAAACTGGGGAGGCTGCCAGTAGGGGGGGAGTGGGGGAGTCAAAGTGCCCAGGTTCCAGATGGCAGACAGGTGAGTCCTTAAAATTTTTGTCCACACCTTTATACTCCACCTTTCCTCATGAGCACACATGAAGCTGCCTCACACTGAATCAGACCCTGGGTCCACCAAAGTCAGTATTGCCTGCTCAGGCTGGCAGCGATTCTCCAGGGTCTCAGGCAGGGGGTCTTTCACATCGTCTACTGTGAGGTTTTTAAACTGGAGACACCGGGGATTGGAGGTTCCAGCAGGGGAGCGCAGATATCGTATACCCTTGGCCGAAGAACGGTACACTCCTTCTATCTGGGATGGTCGCCAGTGTTCCCTCTAAGCTGAGTTAGTGTGAGCTAGCTCACAGTTTCTTAGCCTCCGGCTCACACATCTTTGTCTTAGCTCAGGAAAGATGGCTCCGGAGCAAACTAATTTATGCAGCAGCCAAATCGCTCGCTCACAACTTTAGGGCCAGTAGCTCACAAAGTAGAATTTTTGCTCACAGGACTCCACAGCTTAGAGGGAACATGGTTGCCCTCTTCGACTGAGCGCGCAAGGTCACATGGAGCGGGGAGGGAGGGAGGGGACACCCGCCCAGCCAGATCAGCCAAATCAACCCTGTCGATCAGAGGGGGTGGCAGATGTCGCAGCCAGACCGCCCTCACCTGCTACCGGGGATTGAGCCTGGTACCTTCTGTGTGCCAAGCAGATGCTCTGCCAGTGAGCCACAGCCCCTCCCCTCCTTCGAGGTTGGTTGAAGAAGTGAGCCCTGATGGGTGCTTGGGGGGTGGGTGGGAGCAACAGCGGGAGGGCTTCTAGTGTCTGTCAGGTAGCCCTGTCATAGATCCGGAATTCGGAGGGGTGCCAATCATCCTTGTTCTCAGCTCTACCCGGTCCAGCGCTATCTCTGGCTTGACCTTGTAGTTTCCAGCGGCACTTTCTCGGCTGGGAAAAGTAACGGCTTCTAGCTTTGCCGTTTGCCTTCTTCTGCCTGTGCGTGCAAACTATAATCATTGGCTTCTACTCAGTGGGGGGGATTTTTACGTTTACTGTAAGTCTGAGGCCCTAATTCTGACGGCCATTCCTGACACAAGCTGTAAACGAGTTCTTTGGTACTGGAAACTCTAATAAACACTTATCTTCTTATGAAGCCTTGTGTGGAGTGTGGAGGATCCTGACAGTGTCCTGGCCCCACTGGTGGACCTCCTGATGGGATCTGGTATTTTTGGCCACTGTGTGACAAGAGTGTTGGACTGGATGGGCCACTGGCCTGATCCAGCATTGGCTTCTCTTATGTTCCTTATGTTCATATGATGCTCCCAGCCAACTCCCGAGGGCCTTTACGATGCCCACAGGCCTCAGTCGAGAGCACCGGAGAGACCAAACAAGCCCCATTTCAGCGGCCTGAGCAGAATGTGCTAAGAAGATTAAAGATGCAGAGCCGACACTAGAGAGCTGCTGCTGGCCACAGCCACTGGCTCCGAGGAAGAGGACACGCGGCTATTCTCGCCAAGTCGAGCTTGGAAGCCAGATGGGCCATAATCCTCCGCCATTCTTCCTCGCCAGTTTTCACTAGATCCCCGGGTTCACTTTGGTCCTTCCCGAACCCTGGATGACCGGCTGATGTGAGGATAGAAATCGAAAGGTGTCGCTGACGCCTGACCTGGATAGCCCAGGCAATCCCAATCCCAATCCCATCAGGTCTCGGAAGCTAAGAGGGCCGACCCTGGCAAGTATTTGGATGGGAGACCTCCAAAGAATACCAGGGTCGGGAGGCAGAGGCAGGTTCTCAAGCCACTTCTACATCCACCGTGCCCCTGGTAGGAGTCGCCAGAGGTCGCCACGATTTCTAGTCACAGAATCATAGAATGACAGAGTTGGAAGGGACCTTGCAGGTCATCTAGTCCAACCCCCTGCACTCTGCAGGAGCAGAGCCGGAAGAGAGCCCTACAACACACCCGGAAGATGGTCGTCCAGCCTCCGCTTGAAAACGTCCAGCAAAGGAGCATCCACCACCTCCCGAGGCAGACTGTTCCACTGCTCAACCACTCTTACAGTTAGGAAGTTTCTCCTGATATTTAGCCGGTAACGACTCCCTTGTCATTCCCACCCATTAGATCTAGTCTTGCAGTCCGGAGCAAGAGAGGATAGATCCGCTCCATCTTCTACATGACAGCCCTTCAAATACTTGAAGACTGCAATCATGTCCCCTCTAAGCCGTCTCTTTCCCAGGCTACTTTCCCATTCATGGGCCTACACTATATGGGGGAGAGTTGAGCAAACTCCGGAGGACGGTGGAGGACAGGAGGGCCTGGCGTGATGTGGTCCATGGGGTCGTGAAGAGTTAGACTCGACTGTGACTGAACAACAACAACAACAAATATGGGGGAGTGGAGTGGAGAACAAGGGAACTCTCGGCTTTCCGCTGTTGGCTCTGTACTAGAACCGGGCTTTGCCTCCTCCATAGCCGCCAGCATTTTCTGCTCGGCGCGTCTAAAGATGCTCCTGAGTGGAGCTGTTCCGCAAACACCCAGCTGTTTGTCTCTGCATTAGCGGCAGGCAGCTCGGAGGTTTACTGCCGGGCACTTACTGTCTAATGAACTGAATAGCGTCTTCGTATTTCATCCCGCTCTCGATCAGGGCCAGCGCCACCAGAACGGGAGCCCTAGGAAAGAGAGAGGAAGGGGAACAATAAATACAGCTGCTGGGAACGCTATTGCCGGCCCCGTTAAAAAAAGAGAAAAGGATGGGTCTTGAGAAACGCCGCAAGGCTTGGTTTCTACCCACAGGCAAACCATCATCATCACTGGCTGAGCATCTAGAAATTTTTCAGATCTGCACAGTTCTAACTGCAGGGATGTTTGGATGTGTGTGTGTCTTTCAAGGAGCCCAAATTTTCCCTA